TAATATTCACCACCTCTATCTGACCTAATAATTTTTACCTTTTTGTCTAATTGCCTTTCAACCTCATTAACAAACACTTTGAGAACATCTTTTGCTTGAGATTTTTCTTTCAGCAAATAGATGTATCCATAACGTGAAAAGTCGTCGATAAAAGTGATAAAATATTTTTCTCCACTAAAAGATGGAACATCAAAGGATCCACAAATATCAGTGTGTATAATTTCAAGAAGTTGGGTGCTTCTTGTGGCACCTTTCTTACTATGTTTGGTTTGCTTTCCCTTAATGCAATCCAAACATACAGTAAGATCAGTAAAATTTAGATTCAGAATTATCTCATTCTTTACTAATCTTTCTAACCTTTCTTTGGATATATGACCCAAACGTCTATGCCACAAGTAAGCAGAACTTTCATCTAGTGAACTACGTTTAATTCCAGCATTATGTTGAACATTAAGAAGAGATTCAGAAAAACCAATATCGAGTTTCAGTTTATATAAACCATCATTAAGAAAACTAGAACCATAAAAAATAGCATTCTTATATAAATTAAAACATCCATTTCCAAACTTTAAATCAAATCCAGATCAAACGATAAGTCCCTATGCCTTCAATTGGAGCCTTCATACGATTTTTCATGAACAAGAAATCCTTATTTGGATTTGTAGTTTGGATCATAAGGAATCCCTGCAACGTAGTAGATACATGAGCAGTTGCACCAGAATCAAGCCACCAAGTATTATTAGGAACTTCTATTAAATTTGATTCAAAATATACAAAAGCACTAATTGTACCTTTCTTTTCGAACCAAGCTTTACGTTTCAGGCAATCTTTCTGATAATGTCCTTCCTTGTTACAGAAATGACACATATCTGCCTTATGTTTCTTCTTAGCATCCTGTGGAGCTTTAGCAGGTGCTTTCTTCTTCTTGAACTTGTTGGGCTTCACTTTAAGTCCTTTTACCAGCTCCTTAACCCATGAGGTTAATTGAATGACTCCCTTGTTTCTTAAGTCTTGACTCCTCCTGAGTAAGCATACTGGACAATTCACTAACATTTCACTTATCATTAATAGTATTGTAGTTAATTTGAAAAGGTCCATACTCAGGAGGCAACGAGTTCAGAATAAACTAAACCAAAAAGGAACTATCCACTTTCATCCCCAAGGTCTGAAGTCTTGCTGCAATGTTAGTCATCTCGATAATAAGATTTTGCATACTACGTGACCCATCAAACTTCATGTCCGTGAGTTCAGCCATTAGTGTACCAGTGAGAGACTTATCTGCAGAACGAAAATATTCTTCCACAAACTTCAGGTATTCCCTGGCACTTTCTGTTTGTGGAATAGTGCTCTTAATGTTGTTGGCAATATGCATTCGCATAAACATAAGGCTTAGCCTGTTAGGGCATTCCCATGCTTTATGGAAAGACTTCTCATCCGCGCTACTCGAATCAGTAATGGCAGCAGGCTTATCATTCAGCAGAGCCAAGTCAAGATCCATCACACCTAAGTGGAACTGGACTTGTTCACGCCATTCAGAGAAGTTCAATCCGTTGAACACAGTAACAGACGAAGCATGTGAATGAAGAGGAATAGCTGCAAAATATATAATATATGCTCACAAATCAATATGGATTCAGTAAAATAATAAAAGTATATCGCAATTCTCCTTTGGGTAAATACTACGACACACTATCATAATTTAAAGCCATTTAGTCTTTAGTAGGCAATTAAATTCGTCACCAAAGTGATCAAACTGAAATGTTTAAAGTATTCACATGCATAAATCTTGAGATATCTATTTTATGTGTGCATTTATGTTTATATAGTTTGTTAGTCGTCAAAGTGGTCAAACTAGTATATTTATGAAAAATATGCATACATAAAATTACAGTTATCCATAAAATTACAGTTATCCATAAAATTATAGTTTATCCATAAAACTAATGAAATGCCTATTATTGAATAAATTGATAAATTAACTTTCATTATTGCTAGAACTTAAAGATTTACCCAAAGGTGGATCAATTGTTTTATGAATAGTGAGTATGATGGAACCTTTAAAACAATGATTTATTATCGATGCCTCATCAGATTCGAAAGCAATACAAATTATAATGGCGAATTGAAAGCAATTCGATAATCACGTTGGAACAGTTATACATACATCATAATCTAGTCTTTCTTTCAAAAAAATTATCCGTTCAAATATCCAGGCTCGGATACCACATGTTAGCATAAACTTTAATTGCATATCAGGATCTTGAACATGATAATCTTACACAAAATCGTATAGAAAACATACCTGAATCGTAAGCCATTATCGTGAAGCGGAAGCATTAATTCAGATTGATTTCTCGCCCCTTACCCTAGCTTTCATTACCGCCGACTTTAGTGATGGAAGAAAGAAAAATAAAATACAGTGACCTTAATGGGTGGGGAGATACCAATTTATAGAGATTCTCATTTAATCTGGTACATCCATCAAGTAACCGATCGGACGGATGAGATTTACTTATTAATTAAATATTAATTATACGGGCCTTAAACTTATTGGCCACCAAAACGTAACGTACTTTTCTCTCTATCATGAGGAACGTCTAAGATTTTTTTTATCTCAGTCAAATTTGTTGCTTTTGAGATCTTGTCACAGAAATAACTATCCTACTACTTTGTTTCATGATGAACGTTTTGACTTATATTTATACCGTTTCTCCTCCTTCTTAAATGAAAGTTGCAACTTGCAATGGATAAATTCATTTATAATAAATTAACGGAATTAAATCAATTCAATCTTAAGAGATAATCCTTCTTCTTTTCAAGGCTTCATCACCGTCATATTTTTTTCGTTACTGCTGTGATTATACTTGTCTTGAATCGATGGTCCATCAGAAATATCTTTTATATCTTTATAAGATAGAGGTAAGGTCTTGATACATTTTTCGACCTCACTTGTAGGATATATTGAGTTTGTTGTTGTTGTTGTTATTATTGTCAATATTAAGAGTTAATTAAACTGGTTATGGACTAGTAAGATAAATACGCATCTTCACATTCTTCCCATTCATGTGATCTACCTCATGGCAACAATTAATTTTTTGCTTCTAACTCAAGGAAGGATTCAAGATTAAGACTAAGGAGTACAGGATCGTTACAAATATTCTTTTAACTATATGGCCCTTGATCGATAAAATATATTCATGAGATGTAAATAAAACAAAACAAAAAATCAATTTGTCGGATTATTTTCTTCTATTCGTATTATAATTGATTATTAATGGATTAAGTTAGTATATAGGAAGAATCACTTATTTGTTAACTACTTCTTTGTGACAATATATATTTGGGAAAAAATAAAAATAAAATTGCTAGATTTACAACTGGTTAATTAAAAAATAGTCACGATTTCAAAAGTAATCGAAATTTAGCCATTTTTTCATGTAAAAATAAAATCTGAACAAAAAATCCTTAAAAATTCGATAAATATTCCAGCATAATATGCTGAAGTTCGAAATTTTTACGTATGAGCTCTCAGCATAATGTGCTGGAAATAATATGCGGGAAGTTTATATGCAAGAACTTCATAATCCATCATATTATACTGAAACTTTTCTTGTGCTGGAGTTACAACATAATATGCTGGAAGTTTATATGCAGGAAGTCCATAATCCCGCATATTATGCTAGAACTTTTTGTGTTTTCGCAAAAATAGTGATTTTAATGACTTTACAGACATTAACTATTTTTTTAATTACCAGTTCGAAAAATAGCTGCACCGCACTATTTTCACTATATATTTTTGATTTTTTACCCGGTATCCGGCTCATGTTACAAATATTATACTCCTATATATTTGAAAAAGTAATCAACTAATCCCCAGCCACTCATAAGTCTTAGCAAAGGAAAAAGGAAGAGGGAAAAAGGGCATCAAAATAAACTAGGAAGTAGGAACAGAAGTAAGGTGAAAATGTAAGTGGAGTGAGTGGGGTAGTGGTTAAAGTAACAGAGATGAAAAGTAAAAGTAAGTTTGGCTATAAGAAGTTTTTTGCAGTAAAAGCTAAGCACAACGTACAATCTTCTCATGATCCATCTACCAGGCACTGGTCACAGTGGGACAGTCACAGTACTGTAAAATATCAGAAAACTCTGATAAGCCTAGGGGCATAAAAAACTCCTACACTTAGTATAATAATTAGTTTGATTTGTTTACAGAAAACTTTAGTTTATGGATTTCCGTATAAGTTGTCAGAGACAATAGCTGCCATAAAAGCAGAATAGTTGCAGCAGTTGCAGATACAACTGAGACCCCTCTCACTCATTATATTTTGCACACAGTACACTGTTGTATGTGTGTGTGTGAATATAAGTGAGAAAAAAAGGGGAGAAAAGATAGCAATAATATTATGATCAGAACCATTAGTTTTATCCCCATGTACACAAGATTCTGCAACCCAAATGGTCCCTTAAATAAATACTTAATCTTTCTGTCCCATTTATGTGATATTATTTTGTCTTGAGAGTTTTTAAATATTTTTTATTATTATGTTATATTGTATTTTTACGGAATTTTCAGATATATAAATTTTATTTCAACAATAATAATAACATATTCAGTGTAATCTTACAAGTAAAGTTTGGGAAGGATAGAGTGTACGCAGGAGCGGAGCCAGTATTATAGCTACGAGTTCGGCGAACCCAGTAGCTTTGTTTCACACCCTATATTTGTCTTGAAAAATTCATTAATTATTTATAAATTAATAGATTAGAAACCCAATAACTTAAAATGCTTAGAATATCAAAACGATAAGCTTAAAATCCTACCTCCTTACGAAAACCTTACCCCTACGGTAAATATGCCGTTTTTGATAAAATACAAAAAAGTATCAAATACATGATCAAAATTAAAAATTGTGAATATAAAAAAATTCAGAGTGTCACATAATTAAATTGACATAGAATGACTATATATTTCTCTTCCCAAAAGAGCTCCTTTTATTCACTACACCACTCTCCTTTTCTCTTCTCAAATATTAAAGTGAAATTTGTGATAAATGATGAGTACTACAGCAAGAAGTAGATTTCCATTCACAGCAAATCAATGGCAAGAACTTGAACATCAAGCTCTTATTTACAAGTACATGGTTTCTGGAATGCCTGTTCCACCTGATCTTCTTTATACTATCAGAAGAAGCTTGGATTCTTCACTTTCCTCAAAGCTCATTCTCCACCAACCTCACCACAGTACTATTCTTTCTCCACCCTTCATCTCATTATTACAGTATTTTCATAAAAACAAGTTAAAGTATTGATCTTTATGCATATATATTTCTGTATATAGGTGTGTATATATGTTTCTGTTGTGTTGTGTTTGGACATTATTTGTAAAGATTGGATTGTTTTCAATTTACTCACAAGAATAAGTCAAAGTAAAGATCTTTATGCATACAATTCTTGAAATATGTACTCCCTCCGTCCTAACGTTGGGGTGTTTGATTCGGCAGAGAGAAAGAGAGTCACATATATTGGGACAGAGGGAGTAGTACCTTTTTGTATATAGGTGTGTAAAGATTGGATTTTTTTAGTTTACTCGCAAATTTTAGCTCAAAGTAAAGATCTTTATGCATGAAATCTTGAAATATGTAAAGATTGGATTTTTTTAGTTTACTTCCAAAAATAAGTCAAAGATGAGATCTTTATGCATGAAATGTTGAGATATGCATCTGTGTTAGACCATTTTTTTTAAAAAAAAAATTGGATTTTTTTGTTGTTGGTGTAGTTGGATGGAACTGTTTTCAAATGGGATTTGGGAAGAAAATAGATCCAGAGCCAGGGAGATGTAGAAGAACAGATGGTAAAAAATGGAGATGTTCAAAAGAAGCTTATCCAGATTCCAAATACTGTGAAAGACACATGCACAGAGGCAGAAACCGTTCAAGAAAGCCTGTGGAAATTATGACTACAACATCAACTAACACATCAACTACAACAAGACCTATTTCTACTGCTACTAATACTACAACTCCAACAGCAATTTCCATCTTATCAATCAACAAAAACACAAACAATATTTCCTCTTCTAGCCCCACTTCTTCTCTTCACTCTTTTTCTTATCTTACTTCAACTCATGAACCCCACCAATATCCTTTCCTTTATCCTCATTCTTCTTCCTCTAGACCATCCCCTGCTGCCATTGGTTTGGAATCTTCTCCTTATTCCAGGTTTAACTTCTGACTTAACAGCTTTAATTTGTCATATTGTTCAATTTATGTGGCATCGTTTGACTCAGTATAGAGTTAAAAAACAAAGATTCTTGAAATTGTTATTTTAAATCGGCCGTAACATTATGTACTTTTTAAAATTTTCATATTATTCAATTTATGTGGTATTGTTGACTTAGTATGGAGTTCAAAAAAAATATTTTTTAAGATTTGAGATCTTAAAGCCAATGGTGAAGCTAGGAATTTCACAAAAGGTGTTCAAGATTTAATATCCTCATGTGAAAAATAATATTTGATCTATATACACAATATAAGTTTCTATATTCATAATATAATTTGTGGATAAAAGTTGTTTGGTTGGCCACCATTCAATGTATGACCGCTTAAAGCCATGACATTCAGTGCCTATAAAAAGCGTATCATTAAGAGCCAAACAAAAAATTTAAAGAAAATTATCATTACTTTAGCGAAAGAGTGTCACACAAAATGAAACAAAGTACATAGTACTTGATTTTTTTATGTATAAACTTGAGGTTTTTGGTTAAATTGTGGTTTACAGAAATGGATATGGAGATGGAATGAAGGAGGATGTAGATGAGCATATTTTCTTCTCAGAAACTTCAGGGACAGTGAGAAGTACATGTGGTTCAAATTCAGTTGATGATACTTGGCAATTGTCACCATTAACTATGGGTTCACCAATGAAACAGAGGACTTATTCTCTATCACAAAATACAGGACACTCAGTTTCTTCTTACTTACAACTTCAAAGCTTAAATGAATCATCAAAAGATCATCAACAGTATTTTCATGATGTCAAAAGTATGAAAATAGAAGATCAGCAGCAGCAGCCCAAGAAAGTAATGCACCATTTTTTTGATGAATGGCCAAAAGACAACAAAGATTCATGGCTTGATTCTGAGGATAAATTTTCTGGCCTATCCAAAACTCAACTCTCAATTTCAATACCTAATCCCTCACATGACTTCTTCATCACCACTAATGGTAAATTATCAAGAATCTCTCCTTTTTTTCTTCATTTTGTAACTTTTACATGGTCGAAGGGGAGCGTTGCACCAACGGTAAGGTAGTCTCCGTATGATCTATAAGTTACGGGTTCGAGCCGTGAAAGTAGCCACTTATGATTGCATTCGGGTAGGTTCTTTACGTTATGTCCCTTGGGTGCGATCCTTCTTGAACCCTATTTGAACGTCATGATTTGTGCACCAGATTATTATTATTATTATTATTATTTTTAACTTTTACATGGTTATGGCCAAAATTTTTCTGTTTTGACCAAAATAGTTGAACTTTGTTTTTGCAGAGAAATGAGCTTTGTGAATCAAAGAAGTGGCCAAAAGAGTACTAACTACTTCAATGGTGGTGGGGCGGTGCTTTTTCTGACGTAACTTTCCGTATACCATGTGTTGTATGTTCTGAGAAAACTGTTCTTTTTTCTAATTTATGTAAGTGTAGTAGTACTTTAAATTACAAGTATTTGGTATCTGGCTAACTGAGCCATTTCACATGGTAATATTTGGTTGTCAGCAGCATTGTATTCGTTTCCCCTCCCTAATATTACTAGTACTACTATTGTATTTGTTATGTTTGAATTGTCTGAGCTGAGCCAGGTTTCTGCTAATTTTTGCCACATGTTTGTATGTTTTTATCAGTCTATATGACGTGTTGAATATCTTCTTCTGGTCTTTTTCTGGGGTTGCTTTCAACGACTTTTGCTTGCTGTTGAACTAGTGCCTGCCCCATTGTTTTTTGTTTCCCACTTTGGGCGCATAAGGGATATTTAATTTTGAATTAAATTTAAGATGAGTTTATTTTACGTTTGGTTGAGATAAAATTGTGATATAATTAATTTTGGGATTAGTTATCCCGAGATTGTAATATTTTTTTAATCCCTATGAAAGAATGGGATAACTAATTACGAGATAATTAATTATGAGATAACTTATTTTCCAACAAAACAAACCCTTAGTGTTCGACTAAATTTGAAAAAATCGTTAAGGGTTCCGTGACAAATCCGAAAGCCGAGTGAAGTAGGTACCAATCTACCACTCTCCTTGTTGGTACCCATGTTGCTATTTTGGATTCTTTTGTTATCGTATGCTTATTTATGGTTTTTTTAATATTAACATAAAGCTGCTGCTCACACATTTGGCTCCTTTTTACACTCATGTACAAATCAAGGTTTACTTAAGAAGTAAAAGAAATTAATATTATTATTATATGGTCCTGCATTAGACTATATCTACATTTAATTACTTCTGTTTCAATGCACATGCATTCTGACCTAGTAAGAATCTCAATACCCCGGATCTATCCACCCTCAGTGTATTTTGGGTCTGAGTCTGTCGCATAAGGTTTGCCTAGTATATTTTATATTTCTAGTGTGGTTTGCAGACTATTAGATAGTGGGGGTTTACCCAATGCGCTCACCACAGAGTGCTCATCCGAAGGATAGAAGTTATGGCAAGATAGCTGCGGATTTTCTTGGGGTTCAAGAAAGAATCTCAAAGATTATAAAAAAAATGTAACTTTTGTATCGACTTTAAGCCACTAAGCTTTTGAATATCTTAGGGTTGGACATAAAACGCTGACCCCTAAGAAACATTTCACTTTTAGGGATAGGGTACCAAAACAATTGGCCCTCGTGTCTAAATATCTGAAAGGATTTGATCTCTAGATCTTTAAATGTTGGCCATGCAAAATAAGAACTTTTATACGTGTAAAAATATTTTCACTATACTATCGTGGCACATAAAAGATAGCTACACAAAACTTTCATAAAATATGAAATTTGAAACTTAAAAAAATAAGACAAGTTATAGCGTGATTCATTATTATCATCACCCGGGGCGGAGCCAGCATGAGCCCACTGAATTCGGCCAAACCCAATAGTTTTGGTTCAAGACCTAACTCCGTCTTTGATCATCACAATATAAATGTACATTTACTCTAGTGTAAGAAATGATTTGGTATCCGATTCCGATCATACAAATCTCTGTGTCAGCATTTTAGGCTTTGAATATCAATCAAGCTAGGTAACAAGATAATGGACAGAATCTAAAAAAAGAAGAGCAACATTTGATAATGTTGAGCCAATATTTAGCTCAGATAAAACGTGTGGAAATACTGTTTTAGCTTTTGCAAAATGTTTTTGGCTAAGTAAATGACTCATTCTTTCGACCACCTTTTATCACAATATAAATTCAATAAACACGTTACAGCATTTACATACACCAATACGAACCTTACATAACAACAAGTCATGCAAACGGATTATATTGTGCGTCTGAACAACATCAACTAAATTCAATCCGGTAAATAAAGTATTATGTATTCACCCATGGTTGGAGAAAAAGCGGTACTCCTAAGGGTATAATGTGGATAGCCTACCGTTATGGAAGCATTAGTAGCTGTTGTCACGACTCTAGCACATGACCTATAGGTCGCACAAAGACAGCTTTACCGTTGCTCCCGGTAGCAGATTCAGAATTTTCACTAAGGAGTGTCAAAATATAAAAAATTAGATACACCGAAAAATCAAGAAGGGTCAATGTGTAGTAAATATACATAAATTAAAAAAAATTATCTAGCAATACTAAGTATTTTTTTCCGGCGAAGAGGTGTTGATTGACACCCCTTGGTTGAATGTGGCTCCGCCACTGATTGCTCCAAGACTCCCTTTCAAATTACAATCTTAAAACTAAATGGTTGTTTGGATTGGAAACAAGTTATCTATAATTAATTATCTCGGGATTAGTTATTCATCTTTCTATAAAGATAAAAAAAATACTATAAACCCAGAATAACTAATCTCGAAATTATTTATACCACGATTTTATCCCTACCAAACATGGAATAACCTCATCTCATATCTAATTCCGAAATTAATTATCTTTTGTCCCTCCTACTAAACTAGCCCTAACTTCTAAGAATTCTTTTTATCATAAAAGTCATAGTATAGTACTATTAAACACAATCATATTAAATAATAAAACGGAGAGAGTAACTTTATTAAAGGAATAGTATAGCAAAGAAAGACCATAATGGTATTAACTTGAATAGGAATCATATTGAGTGGACAAAACATGTGAAAAAATGCAGAAGTAAATAGAGATGATAGTACAGAAAAATGAATAGAATTAGAGAAGCAAATAATAATAATAAATGTAAATGGACATTGGGAATGGAACCAAGGGGGGAAGTGTGGGTGCAGAAGCAGAAGAGCAGTCAAAATAGGACAGAATAGAACACTGTAGCAAAAGGACACTGTCTATTTCTGAGCCATTATAATTTATAGGAGTAGAGTAATGACTAGACCAGTCCACATGAGTAGATGTACAGAAATATAGCACCAGAAAGATAAAACTGCTCTGTCAAAAGTGCAGGGATTGATTCAGATTCTTCTTTAATCTTAAAATTTGTGGTATAAGATTGAGCTTAGAGAATAAAAAAATTCCTTATTAAAAAGAACTACTAATATTTTTTTAATATCAGTAAATTTAGTCTTGAATTCCTAAAATAACTATTATTCGAAATAATTTTTTTGAGCTGAAGTGACTTTTAATTTGGAATGAAAAGAGTATCTCTTAATAGACTTACTAAGCACAAATTTGCAGTAATGAATCAGTGAGTTTTTTTAAATAAGACAATTATACACTTTACATGATATCAGATAGTTAATAAGTCAAATTATTAGGTGTTTGACCAGTAAAACAAATTTAGACCCATACCATAAGGAGAGGTAAATGTATTCGGGATTTGAAGATTGCAGGTGCATTTTTGTGTTCAAACAAAATCTGTTTTGTATATCGAGTGTCACTATTAATATTTTTAAAAGACATATTACATGTATATACGGAATTTTTGCCGAACTTTTCGGGTACCGGTGACCCCTCTAATTACTGCATAGGTCCGCCCCGGGGCATGAGCACACACGTAACACTTACCACCCCTAATACCATTTCATTCAAGTTACTCTTTCCGTTCCGGTTTATCTCAACCTATTTATTTTTTGGTCTGTTAAAAAAAAATGATCACTTTCTAAATTTGAAAATAATTTAGCTTAAACTTTCAATTCTACCCTTAATGAGAAGCTTTATAACCACACAAATACTCTGGACCTTTTTTTGACTGGTTTAGGACCATAATTTTTAAAATTTTTTATTTTTTCTTAAATTTCATACCTAGTTAAACAAGTTTACATAAATTAGAACGGAGCAGTGAGTAATATTTTTCAGTCGATCGGTAATTTGCAGAGATGAGTAAATTGATTTAATGAGAAGTGTTTAAAAGCTTTATATTTTGTACCGTGTGCTGCTATTTGCAGGAAGAAACAGGTGAGAAACTGAGAAGAAGAAGCCCACTCACACAGTGACTCTGCAAATTTTGCAGTCTGCACCTTGCTGCTTTTTTTTTTTTTTTTTTTTTTTTTTTTTTTGTCAGCTCAGCTGAGTCATCCAAAAACTGACTTCCAACCATGATTCATCCTCCCACTTTCGGAATTTATTTTTATCTTTGTGGTAAAAATTTATCTGCATGCCATGTTAAATAGGTGCATGACATGCATGTTTTTGCATTTTGGGTGTCATTTGTGTTTGTCTTTTTGTCACATGCATTAGGTATCTTATCCCATGGAATATTCATAACAATAATAACAATAACAAATTTAGTGTAATCCCATAAATATGGTATGTGGAGGATAGTGCGTACGCAAATCTAACCCCTACCTTGTAGAGATAAAGAGGTTGTTTCTGATAATTCTCGGCTCAAGAAAATATGAAAATAAAGCAACCAAACAACAAACAATAATAACAACAATGTAATATGGTAACAGACGCGAATGATACAATATGTAATAACTACGAATCATGAATAAATAGTCCTAGTATTACTGGTAAGCTTATTAGGATCGGTAAACCGAGTAGTGCGGTATTTAGCCAAACAATGTTATAATGACAATAACAAAGACAATACAAGTTGATAATAACGACAATTAAAGAAAATAAAGAAGACACAAATTTAACGTGGTTCGGTCAAAGTGACCTACGCCCATAAGCGGAGAGGAGCAATTTTACTATGCCAACAAGAGTACAAAAGAGAGTACAAAATTAGAGTAAATACTCTAATTAGTCCCAAATACCCCAAGAGAATAACCTCACAAGATCACTCCAAAGAAAGGGTTCACACAAGTGTTTCCCAACATTCACTCTCTTACAAAAATACTCTATAATAAAATAAAGGAGGAGAAAGAAAGACAAGAGTGAAAAACTCTTGAATTAGTGTGTTTACAAATGGGGAGAATCTTCTCTATTTATAGCAAGAAAAACTTAGCCTAATAGTGGATATTATGTCATGACAAATGTCATGATTCACAAATTTTGTTATAGTGGATATTATGTCATGACAAATGTCATGAAAATTTGCCCCCACTTGAGAAGAAGCTAAATTAATAGTCATATTACAAATCTCTACCTTGGCCTAATTTCGGCTTATATATAGTAAATTTGCTCCACCTTCTTCGCAAAAACCC